ACAATGAAAAATACAGAATGCTAAATAAAGAAATTAAAGAAGACCTTAGAAGATAGAAAGATCTCCCTTGTTCTTGGATAAGCAGATTTAATATTATCAAAATGACCATAGTACCATAAGCACCATACAGATTTAATGCAATTCCAATCAAAATCCCAATGACATTCCTCGTAGAAATAGAAAAATCAATCATGAAATTCATCTGGAAAAGTAAGAGACACAGAATAGCTAAAGCAATCCTTAGCAAGAAGAGTGAAGCAGGTAGCATCACAATATCAGACCTTAAACTATCCTACAGAGAAACAGTAACAAAAACAGCATGGTATTGTCACCAAAATACACTGGTAGACTAATGGAACAGAACAGAGGACACAGAAACTAACCCATGTAATTACAGTTATCTTATATTAGGCAAAGGCACCAAAACATGCATTGGAGAAAAGACAGCCTCTTCAACAATGGTGCTGGGAAAACTGGAAATCCATATGCAACAAAATAAAATTAAACCCCTATCTCTCACCATACACAAAACTCAACTCAAAATGGATCAAAGACCTAGGAATTAAACCAGAGACACTGCACCTATTAGAAGAAAAAATAGGCCCAAATCTCCATCATGTCAAATTAGGCACCGACTTCCTTAATAAGACTCCTTTAGCACAAGATAAAAATCAAGAATCAATAAATGGAATGGATTCAAACTAAAAAGCTTCTGTTCAGCAAAAGAAACAGTCCATGAGGTGAATAGAGAGCTTACATTTTGGGAGCAAATTTTCACCACTCACAAATCAGACAGAGCTCTAATCTCTAGGGTATATAAAGAACTCAAAAAGATAAACACCAAAAGAAAATAACCCAATCAATAAACGGGCTAAGGAACTGAACAGACACTTCTCAGAAGAAGATATACAATCAATCAAAATTTCTGTATATCAGTGACAAATCTTCTGAGAAGCAAAGAGGAAAACTACCCCATTCACAATACCCTCAAAACAAAATAAGATACTTGGGAATCAACTTAATGAAAGAGGTAAAAGATCTATACAATGAAAACTACAGAACTCTAAAGAGAGAAATCAAAGAAGACCTTAGAAATGGAAAGATTCTGCTCTTGAATAGGCAGAATTAATATTATCAAAATGACCATACTACCAAAGCACTACACAGATTTAATGCAATTCCAATCAAAATCCCAATGGCATTCCTCATTGAAATAGTAAAAGCAAGAGTGAAATTCATCTGGAAAAATAAGACACTCAGAATAGCTAAAACAATCCTTAGCAGGAAGAGGGAAGCAGGTGGCATCACTATACCAGATTTTCAACTACACTACAGAACAACAGTAAAAAAACAAAAAACAAAAAACCAAAAAAACATGGTATTGGCACTGAAACAGACTGGTAGAGCAATAGTACAGAATAAAGGACACAGAGACTAACCCACAAAATTAAAATTGTCTTATATTTGACAAAGGTGCCAAAACCATCCACTGGAGAAAAGATAGCATCTTCAACAAATGGTGTTGGGAAAACTGGAAATCCATTTGCAACAAAATGAAATTAAACCTCTATCTCTCACCATGCACAAAACTTAACTTAAAATAGATCAAGGACATAGGAATTAAACCAGAGACTCTGAGTCTAATAGAAGAAAAAGTAGGCCCTAATCTTCATCATGTTGGATTAGGCCCCAACTTCCTTAATAAGACTCCTATAGTGCAAGAATTAAAACCAAGAATCAATAAATGGGATGGAATCAAACTAAAAAGTTTCTTCTCAGCAAA